AGCAACTCAATGGCAGCGATGGGAGGGAGGGAATAAGTAGAAAAGAGGGAACAGCTGATGCTATGCAAAACAAAAGAAATGTACATATCAACCAATGTGGAAGAAATAGCTATCGCAAAGCTCATAGAAGGGGCTGGAAAGGTGGCTCAGTGGTAGAATGCTTGCTTTGCATGCATGAGGCTCTGAGTTCGATTCCTCAGCACCGCATAAGCAAAAAGAAAAAAAGCCGGAAGTGTCGTTGTGCCTCAAGTGGTAGAGCACTAGCCTTGAGCTGAAGAGCTGAGGGACAGCGCCCAGGCCCAGAGTTCAGGCCCCACGACCGGACCCCCCCCCCAAAAAAAAGCTCATAGAAATCATAAATGTTATAGAGCGTGATAAACAATTTTCTCCAGGAAAGTTGGAATGTGTTTGTGACTTTAACTGAGCATCACTATCCCACAATACTGTGAAATTTGGGAAATTATGTAACCACTTAATCACAATAAAAAAACAATATTTTCACAATAAAAAATATACAAAAATTTTGAAAAAAAATCAAGAGCTAAGATGTAGCTCAGAGGTAGAGTGCACAAGGCCCTAGGTTCAAGCACAAGCACCACCAAACAAACAACCCCATTCCCTTCCAATATCTTGGCCTTTCTTCACTCTGAAGAAAATAGACAAAAATGACCAGAGTGACATTAGCCTCCAGCAATTACACTGGACCATGGAGTAGATTTTAAGATAGAACACACTAAGAAAGACAAGAGCCTCAGACTGATAGTTATGGAGCTATTTTATGGTGACCACCAAGCTTCAGGTATCTTTAATGTGTGAAGGAAAAAAAAAGACCAACTTTTTTTTTTTGGTGCCATTTGGGGCTTGAACTTAGGGCCTGGATGCTGTCCTTGCACTCTTTTTACTCAAGGCTAGTGGGGAAAAAAAGAAGTAGGAGGTGATTTCCTCTTCCATCTTGTTGTCAACTCAAAGCTCATGTGCAGTTCTCATCTCTAGCATTCCAAGCAGGCATCTGCAGACCATGTGGGTGGCAAGTCACATCCCAAACCAATATTGTCCCACTGGAACTACACTACAGACATTAATAGTTTTACTTATATTCTGAATAAGGTCTTAAAATTTCCCCTAGAACAACATGTGCTTCCAATCCAGCACACCATGCACCCCCACACTGACAACTTGTGTGTGTGAATTGTGTATGTGTGTTCACAGGTTTGTGTGTGCAAGGAGGGGGTAATTATGTGATTTGGAATTAAGGATTAACTCAATTTCACCTTGCTTTCTTGTTTTGAGGGGTCTGATGTATCACCTGGAGTAAGCCTCCAGTTCAGACACCTGAATTTTTGTTGAGATTGAGGCCAGTCCAAGCCTTTTCCTAGGCTGTTCTCAAACTATGGATCTCTGATTTTGTTCCATGAACAGCTAGGCTAATGAAAACTAGTCACAATACTTAGCAGAAACCACATTTGGATGACACAGGCCTTACCAAAGCACAGTGGCAATGTGTCTTCACAGACTAAATAGAGCTTCCATACTTTTGGCACCTTCTCTGACTGCAGCCAGTGGGAAAGCTGCGGTGGGGAATCTCTTGTCTCTTTTAGGAATCACTACCTGAGATTGAGTAGGGAATCCCAGTTACACAAAGCAACCTGGGGAAAGATATTCTTCCTCCACTGGTTTCTGGCATCATCTAAGAGGAAGGCTGAAACAGTATAGAGATATATTCCACCAATTACTGTCATCAATGCATACCCAGAGAGGATCACCACCTACCCTATCCTCCCCCACCCCACAATAGAACCACATAGATTCATCACTTTAAATCGGTTCCCAAACAAGTATTTTCATTTCCCATATTTTTACCTGAGATAAAAATCACCAGATCAAAAAAGGATCAGTCCTGTGAGCTATGACAGTGGATCCATTGACCAGGAGTCAATTTCTGCCACAGGATGCTAGCACAAACTCATGAGTGGTTAGAACCTCCATCCTCTGCAGATTGATGCAGGTGGCTATTACTCTTCTGCCCATATTTCCTGCACATGAAGAGTGCTTCAAAAGCTATATTTTACAGTATGCCAGCATTGACTCATTTCTCTCAGCCTCTCAATTAGAATGAGAAACCAATCATGGGCTGGTGAGCAGAGGGAAATCAGAGGGTTTGTCTCTTCTGGAGGGATGGGGGTAGCAGGGAGGTCTGCTGTAGATTGAACTTATATGCCAGCGCACTGCCACTGGAGCTATATCCTCAGGCCTTTTTGTTTTACTTACACTTTGAATAAAGTCTTCCAATATTCCCTTGGCTGCCTTATGTTTCCCATTGCGAGTGGTAAGCATCACAACGAATGACTGTCTGTGCCTGCTTGCCTGTGTGCATGCTCTTGTGTATAAGGTGGTCATGGGACTTAGATTCAGCCATTCCCCGCCTCTTGTCTTTTTTGCTTTCAGGAGGCATTCTATCACTTTTGCCATGACTCCACTCTGAACAGATACTGTTTCTTTGTTGTTGTTGAGACTGTGGGCAGGAAATCTTTTTGCCTGGGCTTTTCCCAAGCCTAGACCAACCCAGCACACTTTTGCTTGCACATTAGCTAGCAAACTAGGAATGGGCTGCCACAGCCATTAGAAACACCACTTTAACCAGACAGGCCCTATTGCTACTTGGTTAACCACGGAATAACTATAGACTTTGTCTATTTTGGGTGCAGAGCCCACTAATGGGACCTTGTTACCTCCATGCAGCCTGGGGCCGTACTTTCCTCTTCTGTTGTCTGGGATCATCAACCAAGAATAGGCTGGAGCCTCAATTGCACCAAGCACCATGGGAAGGTGTCTTCTGCCCCAAGTACTGGCATCAGTGCATTTCTGAGGTGGCCCCAGTTCCTCTGATCACATGACTTCCCAGTGACACCAACAGGTATCCAGAGTTTGCATTTTAACTCTTCTCCCAACCAGAGCACCCACATAATTATAATTAACTTTTTCATAGCCACATGCTGAAGGTACTTTTACCATACCAAGTAAGGATCAGACTGCATACCAGAGTCTTCAGGTATATAGCCAGGAGTCAAATTCCTCCCCCACATTGTTGTCAGATTCCTCCTCCACATTGTTGTCAACATTTAGCTGGTTGGGAGAAAGTAGATTCTTTGTGCTCTTGAACAAAGGAAACCTGGAAAAGTTGCACACAGGTATTTTCTCCTTTTTTTCTGTCACTTTTACCATGCCAGGAGTCACAGTAAACACTAGGATTTTCACTGGGGCTACTTGCGCCATTCAAACTTCCAAGCAGAGGGAAAGAATAATATCAGAGAGCAGAGCTCAGAGCATGGGGAAAGGTAATTCTAATTAACTGTGTGTGTGTGAAGTCACAGTGAGAGAGAGGGGGAGGAGGGAGAGAGAGAGAGACAGACAGACAGACAGACAGACAGAAAGGGGGGAGAGTGTGTGCCAATGTCCTGGGGCTGGAACTCAGGGCTTAGATGCTGCCACTGTGTTTACTTTTGTCAAGGGCAGTTCTCTACAACCTGATCCACAGCTACACTTTTGGTGTTTTTGGAAGTTAATTGTAGATGGGGGTTTCAGGGATTTTCCTAATAAGGTTAGCCTCCAAACTTGATCCACAGAACTTAGGTTTTTGAGGAGCTACAATGTCACATATGAGCCACTGGCAACCAGCACTTCAATTTTGTTTAAAGAATAAGAAAATATTATTGACCACAGTTCCCCATTATTTATAAGCAGTAAGGTAGCATTCTGCTTACTAAAAAGTTGATTTTGTGCCTTTTGTAGAACCAGTAATCCAATATTGAGAAGATTGAACCTGTACATAAGGAACGAATTGAGTTAATGAGAACAGCATACAAGTCAACAATTATGAAATTTTGTTCATTCATTTATGCCAGGAGGTTGTACAGTTTCAAAATCTGTAAGCAGGTGACTACATTTCCATTAGCTGAGTCTAAGATATCTCCAAATTCAAGAGCTTTCACTAAACAATTCCAATATTTTGTAAAGAAATGGCTCAGTAGACAAAATTTTCAATGTCCACTGAGTTTTGTTTAGTTAATTAATAGAAAGGAGATTTGTCTTAATCTTATCTAGCTAAGATTTTCTTTTTTTATTGTGAAAACACCGTACAGAGGGGTTACAATTACATAGGAAAGATAATAAGTACATTTCTTATCAAGCATTGTTGCCTCCTCTTTATTTCCCCTTCCCACCCATTCCAATTTCCCCCCACCCCCCTAAACCTCCCACTCCCTTGTCCCCCCCCCCCCCCCCGCCAAAGTTGTAAAGTTTGTTTTTCGATATAATGATTTGTACATCTCATTGTTGCAATGAGTCCACCTGTAAGCTAGGATATTCTTGATAGTGATAACTATTCCTTTCAGGAAAAATTGCAAAAACCTATTACATTTACATATTTATGGCCAATACCAGAGTACCTAAAATTTGAAGCAAGTGAGGCTATCTAGCAAGAGTAAGACCAGCCTGAGCTTCTCAGTGACCCTGTCTCAAAAAGGAGGGGAGGCAGGGATGTCACTCATTGATATATCATTTGCTGGTAATATACTTTACTTGTCATATGCATGGGTTTGGAGCCCAGCACTTGTAAACAAGCAAAATCTCCCAAAGTATAAATTTCGATGTAAGAATCTTTCATATGTGCACGTGTGCAAACACACACACACACACACAAATTCAGAGTGAACCTTGAAAATTGCAGTTAAAGGCAAGTAATTCTGATTAATTAACGATTACTGTTTTTGAATGCAGAGGAATAAAATACACCAAAAAGAGGAAGCAACTACAGAAAGTCTTTATTATACTTCTTCAAAGTAACAGCACAACTGAAGCAAAAAAATCTCAACACTGTCACTGTTTTCAAAACCAACATATCAAATTTGATTTTAGTAGATTGTAGTTATTGTTTCAAACCATTAACACAAGAGCCAAGACTCAAAGTTTGTTTATACTTGTATATATATGTAATGTATTTTTCATTGAGCATCACCTTCTGATGAAGGATCCCAAACTATCCTTTGTTCATAAAATTTAATTACAATTTGAGGACATTTAACATTAGCCTCTTTTGCCAACACCAAATCAGCTTTATCCGAATCTTTCCACTTCATGAGGAACATCAATCCTTCACTACTTCCTGTGGCACCAATTATTCGTTCAGGCTCTAGACCCCTAGCAAACCCCGTTGGATTATCACTAGCTTCGCTATTGTCTGTTGTTACGCTACCTTCAGATTCACTAGTAGCTTCTTGAGAATTCAGAAAAGCCTCAATTAAATCTGGACAATTTAAATGCTCTTCTGACTCCCACGTATTATCATCATCTGAATATCCCTTCCATTTCAGGAGATATTCTACCTTGCCAGCTACTATACGTTTGCCCACTACTTTCTCCACTTCAAATTCTTCAAGCTCTTCTTCTTCAACATTTTCAGGTTTTCTGTTTTTTTTCTTTCTTTTGGGAATTCTAGTTTCCTTGGAGGTCATTTTTAATAGTGGATGTGAAGAGCTATTATTAACCTCAGATGCTCCAGGTCACAATTCTGTAGCAACTCTGGCTCTCAAGCCTCAAGCTCCAGGCACCACCGAGGGGTTTTCTGCCAAATTTCTATGGTTAGTCCTAGGGAAAAAAAAAACACCAGTCAGACTCATTGTGAAACTTCCCAAATCACCATGCATACAGACCTAAAAGCCATACATCCATGTGGAATTTTCCTCAGCTTCACCCTGGCTTCTGAGTAAGAGATAAACGAAGCAAACCAGACACACACCGCCAGGATGCTAAATCTAAATTGTCCTTGGAATCACAACCACAAAACCAGACAGGCAAACCCCAAAAATATCCCTAATGAGACACCAAAAGCAACTTATGAAAAATAAAAGGAAAAAAAATAACCTCAAAGCAGCTAGACAGAAATGCTCACATTACCTACAGAGGGGCAATGATTTAAATGCTATCACATTTCTTCTCTGAATCCAGAAAAGTCTAGAAGGTAGGGCTACATTGTTCAAATGGGTGAAAGTAAAGAACTGTCAGCTCTGAATTCCAGGCTCACGGAAAATATCCTCATGAAAAGTGGGGAAAATAAGGCACTCTCAGATGACAGCAAATTCAGAAAATTTTCACTAATGTTGTATCAATAATGTCCAGCTAAAAGAAGTTCTCCATACAAAAAGAAAGCAGTATTAGAAAGAGGTTTAAAACTTTAGAAAGAAAAACCAAGAAATATGTATAAATCAGGGTGGTTATAATAGACACACCTTTCCTTGTACTAATTTTAAATTATGCTGAACTGATGAGGAAAAATTATAATATGACCTGATAATGGGTTCCATCTATACAAAAATACATGAGAAATTTATATTTTAAGAGCTGGATATGTGGATGATGGAATAGAATAATCCCTACTAAACACAAAGCTTGGAGTTCAAATCCCAATACCACCAAAACAAAACACATTCTCAAATAGGAGGATAAAAACCTACCTAGCTGAAAATAAGTTCTCTCCATTTAGTAGCAATCAACAATTTTGATAACAAAGCTGGATGCTGGTAACACATGTCTTTAATCCTAGCTATTCAAATGGCGGAGGTCTGTGACATTCATTATCAATAACCATGAAAAACTGGAAGTGGAGCTGTGGCACAAGTGGCAGAGTGTGAGCCTTGAGCAAAAGAAGCTCAAGAACAGCGACTAGTCTGTGTTTCAGTGCTATGGCAGACATAAAAAATATTAACAATTGTAAACTATGATTAATTATTCAGATATTTTAATATCCAAAATATCTATTGAAAATATAAAAGGTGTATTCAAAACACTAATTAAATCAGAATATTAAAACACCTCACAGTAATGTAAGAAAGGAAAACAGGAAAGAGAAACAGAAAAACAGACAGAAAACAAAATATAAGAAAATGTTAGAATTTTCCAGGTGCTCACATCTGTAATTTTAGCTACTCAGGAGACTGAGACCTGATGGCTCTCAGTTTGAGGCAAGCACAGGAAGAAAAGTGCTCTAGACTCAATTTCCAAGTAACCAGCAAAAGCTTAGCAGTTAAGAGTGGTTAAAGTGGTATAGAAACAGCCAAGCAAGAGTGAAGGTCTGGATTCAAACCTCACTCCACAAAAAGTTATACCTAAGCACAATAATAAGGTTCAGGTTAAACAGTCAAAATAAATGAATGAGAAGATATTCACAAAATGTTTCTTCTCTTTAGCACCTGCTAGACAGATGCCATGTAACTTAACACATGTTGTCATTCTGTAAAATATATCTTTAAAAATAGTATATGCTGTCTAAAAGAAATGATGTAAAAGTACAAATGCTTAAAAGGGTAAAAAACAATATATTATGCCAACCTTAAATACTAGGAGCATGATGGTTATATATTAATATTATTAGACCTCCAAGGGGCCTCTCCCATTAGTTACCTAGGACGTGCTACTCCTGCAGCAATGAGTCCTAACAACATGAGGGAAATGTTGTCTATCAGAGTAGCTTGTTAGAAATTCAGTTCTTGAGACATTATTGGGGACTGGTCACATCCACAACACAGGACACCCCTGTCTAACACTTGAGAAAATGTCCAACTCCTAGTAGAAAACCACAGGATAACCACACTGTTTGTACAAATGGCTTGAACCCAGATGAACTGTCAGAATTCTAAATCCCAGACAGATTTTCTGGGAACACCCATCTAGAGATTTTATTTGCCAAAGAGAGCTGTCAGGACTGCTTGGAAACCAGGAGGATTGGGTTCTTTTGTTGTATATATTTTTATTGTAAAAATACTGTACAGATGAGTTACTGTTATATGAGTAAGGTAATGAGTACATTTCCTATGGAGCATTATTACCTCCTCCTTTGATTTTTCTCCACAACTTCTCCCTCCCCACTCCTAAAGTTGTAAAGTTTGTTTTCAACATAGTGTCTTACATTTCTCATCGTTACAATGGTTCATCCTGTAACCCTATTTCAGCATTTTGTTATTTCCCTTGTTTGAGTTCATATCCCAGGAAAAAGAGGCAGAAACTTACGTCAATCACCTCCTTTGTTCAGGCTCACATATTTGATGTAGGGCACTGGGGAGTCTATTAAAGAATGAAATCAACATGTCTTAGGATAAATTTGCCTAGGATGTTGTAGAGCCAGAATGAATCCTGCCCCCATCATCCATTTCCATGAGGCCTCAAGGAGAGGCCCTTGATCATTATCTAGAGTTTTGGCATCAAAGTCCAGTAAGATTGAGACAGGGGGTGATGATCTCCTATGCTGGAGAAGCCTGAGGCCTTCATAGTCCACAATCTGACTTTGAATCCTCCTCTATAAAGGTGACAATAACAATGAGTGTTACAGTAAGATAAAAAAAACAACTGAAAATTATGTTTATCCTGAAGCCCAGGTGCTTTGGCTTCTAGGCATAATAAATACAAAGGAAAGGCTGAGCAAGAGGGCATTTCCAGAGAGAAGATGGAAACTGGCACTCACCGTTTATTCCTCTGAAAGTTCCTCTCCCGTGAATGTGGTTCAGCCTACAGCTGTGGAATCTTCTCAGTCTAGTTGAATGTTGACTTTGGGCAAGGAGCTGGGGAGAAGAGAAGAGAAACCTCTGGTATATTTCCATCAAAGAACAGCCTTCCCAGAGCCTACAAGTATGTGTGTGATTGAGTAACATGTATGTGCACTCTTTACCACCACTGTAGAGGGAGCAAGGTATTAAAAACTCTTGGGAGTGTATATCTAAGTCAGGAAGTCACAACGCCTACAGATATCAAATATACAATGCATTGACAGTGAATGAACAGATCAAAAATGAAAACAATACTACTAATGTAAGCATGAAGTTCACAAAAGACACTCAAATCATTCTCTGCTTAGTGAAGCAAGTAGGGCTACTAGGTTCCATCACCAAGCGTGATGTAGAGGAGTGTTAGTCACAACAATAATTCTGCCTATACAGGAGGCTGAAATCTGAGGTTGGAATATAGAAGGCAGACTGTCCAGCAAAGACTGAGAGAGCCTCATTTCCATTTAACCAGAAAGAAGTTCAAAGAGGAGGTGTAGTTGAAGGGGTAGAAAGGCAGCCTTGAATAAACATGACAAATGTGAGCTCACGGCTCTGAGTTCAAAACCCAGTGCCAACAAACACTAAAATGAGAGTGCAACACTGTGCCAACCTCACAGAAACTTAGAGAATAATTGTATATGTGCTTAAATTTGCACATATACAGTGAGAGGATGAATCAGAAACCAATACATGTACTTGTAGTAGAGGTCAGATATGGGAATGCAAAAATGAAACCTTCCAAAACCAGGAGAAAAGAAAGGGGAATGGAACTTCTTACCTTTTATACAATGTTGATTTAAGAATTTAGTAAGTAGACTTGTATTTTAAAATGAATGTAACTTGTATTTTAAAATGAATGCTAACAAGACAGAAAAGTAGTGGGAAAGCAAAAGAGAAAAGAAGTCTTTGTAGGTTAAATTCAAGCCCAGGATCAAATTCACGAAAAGAGGAGGCTCAGTTTCTTCTTCTCAGAGATACCTTACATGAGATGAGTTATGACCTTTGATCATAGACTGGCCCGGACCTGGGGTCCAGGGAGGAAGAAATTCCTTGTAAACCAAGGGAGCTGAAGGAGAATTCCACCTTTTAAGGGACAGGAAGCAGCAGAATTTAGCAAGTCAGCTGGCACACCTGCATGGCTGCTAAGGTGCATTTCTCTTCATTTTCCTCTCAGAAGAATGTATCCATGACAACTATCCTTCAAAAGGGGGCTTCTCAATCTTGTCAAAGTCCCTAGGTGTTTTTGGTATTGTGATGTACAGCAGTACCTGGTAGCTGGTTTGAAATCAGGGCTTCATACTTTCTCTGCTTTATCACTCATGACTTGTCTCTACCTCTGAAGTCACACCTCCAAGTCCTCCTTTTTGCTGTTTAATTAAAGATGGAGTCTTTTGGACATTTCTGCCTCATTCTGTGGACTTAAACCTCTGTTCTCAAGGTCTCAGCCTCTTGTGGAACTAGGATTACAAATGTACGCCACAGACATGTGGCTGATAGGTGAGTATTTGTTCCCTGTGGTATTTTTTCTCTGTGAATTACCCATGTTTTTCAACATACCCTCTCCAACTTGGTTCTTTGTGATTTTGAAAGAAGTGACACACCATCTAGGAATTCTCTGACCACTGCTTCTTCCATCAAGTTCTCTATACTCTACTTTCCTACTTCTTTGAGGCTTAGTCTCTTTGGTTGGCTCCACATGTTCTCAGCCCTCCTTTCACCTCTCCACATCAGCTGTCATCATGGTATAACATCCAAGCCTTACTCCTCTAACTTCATCTCTATCCTTTATCCCTTCTTGATTTTGTCTGTTGTGAGGCTTGAACCCTGGGCCTGGGCCTGGGTGCTGTCCCTCAGCTCTTTAGCTCAAGGTTAGTGCTCTACCACTTGAGCCACAGCATCACTCCGGGTTTTTGGTGGTA